CATACATATATATACACATATACATATATACATATACATATACATATACACACACACACACACACACACATATATATATATATACATATATATGCATATTCTGTGTATTGCCTCACCTGTTGAGTCGTGCCCACTGTAAATGCTTAGTTTTTTGTGATCACCACCCTTCATCGCCTGTTCGATATTGTCGTTTCATTCACTAAACTGTAGCAAATAAGATAAAAAAGTAGACTTGAAATCCATGTCTATTTTTGTATAGAGGCTCAATGGATCAGCATTTATCAGAATATTTACTACCAAGACCAAGGATCTCTCTGTATTGAAATTCAACTTTGCGAACTAGAAACATCGTGTCCCTTGTTATATATGTTGGTGATAGTCCGCGCGCGCTGACACGGCACTTCTCCACATTAACGATAGCCCTCATCTATTAGCCAACAATGAATCAAAACTAACAAACACCGACAAGAAAAGACCTGCAGCACAAACCCCGAGTCTGCCCACAACTCACATGAAAACTAATAAGGAGTACATACCAAAAATCCAGTGCGCACTCTACTGGCCTCTTCAGGGGTGGGGTATGCATTCTTGGCCATTGTCAGCCACATCATCTCATCGACCATGCGTTGGTACAAATCTGGATCTCTCAGACTGAGAGTGAGATTTATCGATAGTGTTAGATTTTCGTGAGACAGTAGACTATGGCATTGAAGTTCGTACACTAGCAAGTCTGAGTCCATTCAATCCCCAATTAGATTAACGGTAGTGAAGATTAGTGCCCCAAGTAATTGGGAACAATCGGTATGGATATACGTATACAAACATGCATCCATACATTGATATGCACGGGTGTTTTACACTATAGGCACTTGTAGAGTTGACGAATAGGATCTATAAGCAATGATTGAGACGCACCGCGCGCTATCTAGCATTTGAGCGCATACAACTGGCACCAGAGAAAACTCGCTGTCAATACTTTCCAACACCGCATGCATTATCTCCTGGACCCTGACTTCACCCACCTCACATACAAACACATGCATGTGCTATAGCTGACTGCATAAACGCTCATCTTGCACAATTGGTGGGCTGTGGCCTCGAAGTCATCACGCTCTCACCTACTGGGATAATCATATCCAAAGCAGATGTGCGCCAGCAGGCAGTCCGTGAGCCCAAAGATAGTCTCGTCCGTCATTGTGACGTAATCCATGACGAGCAATTTGGCCAATTCCTGCTCTCACAAATAACAGACGGACAATACAGGAATATTATGTACTTTGTGGCCACGTATAAATACATTCAAACATATAGACATATAGTAATGCTAATCGGCGGTTTTATTTATACCTTCACACCAAGCACAGCAACCCAAGACAAGTAAAATTTAAAACAGCACCAGAGACCATACGCCATACCTTCAGTAGCGGCCGGGTGATCTCAATATAGTGTGCCTGCCACACAGCAGAATTCTTGTACGCCTTTGTATACCTAGCCGCCTTCTTACACAGATGGTCCCCGATGATGATAGGGTCGCCTGCATAATCCATCATATGGATACTCACAGCCGGGACTTTGGACGCGTTCCCAGCCGAGGTCAGAGCGAACATGCCCTCGACCATTGCTTGTAAGGACTGGATTGTCCGGGGGACGTCATCGACACGCAATAGGACATCTGCGTCCAAGTCGGTCACGAATCCGGTGTCAAGGTATTCCTTCCGCAACATGGCACCGTTCTACGAGAGGGGCGTGTGCCAGTATGATCCGTTAACATCGAACCGAAACACCCAATCTATCATGCCAAACGACGCTGGGTGGTGTGTGGTGTCATATGAGTCACAAACAAGCCCACTATCGGAAGTGTATAGCTCCACATTTCTAGAGCCGTTCTGGGTACACTACCATCATCTTGTTGCTGAGGCTGGTTCTTTCGCAATTGAACAAGACTCTGCAAAGAAAATAAGACTCAACGCTATAGTAATGAACTTGTAGGGTATATTCATACAGATAAAAAAAGTTATGCAGGGCAAAAGATCTAGAACTCAACATCTGTTTGGATCCAAACTATCAAGCAAAACTCGCGACATGTGGAAAATCTGTGCAGTTTCGGCAGAATATGGAATAATTCATGCCAAGCGATCTGGCAGCACACAGAATATATAGTCTGCATACGAGAGCGCAATTACCGCACAGATGAGCCCTAGTAGAATTTATATGATCATAGTGAGGAGTATAGTTATTGTCTGGAGAGCTTGCAATCGGTCCACACGCCCCAATTAATTGATGTGAAGGATCGGCTGGTACATATCCAGCGGAGCATGCATACACAGAAATCAATTGGTATCGGATGATACAAAACTTGACCCGAACTTGATCATACGCATGCAAACGTGATTATAGCATACAATTAGAACAGTACATACAATGCACACGTGGCAGAGCAAACACCCACGCCAGCGTTCGCAATTGTCTGTAGTACAGTACAACAGCACATACTCTGACCAGCATATTGTATCCTCTGGTAGTGAGCTGGCCCACCGCACAATTGCCAGGCAGTTGTTCTTTGTTGTCATCGTAGACTTTTTAAACAGGTGGCTAACCGGCACCTCTGGTTGGTAACGGGTCACAGTGGTTTGCGCTGTGGTCAACTCACAGTACCACACAGCGTCATCCTTGGGCCAGCATTGGCCTGCCGCACACGGTGCTCGGTCGCCGTGTCTGCACGAGACGGACAATTGAAGGCGAATATAACATCAGCATGGATACCCACCGACATTTGCTTCATAGTAATAGAACCGAATTTACGGTGTTGACAGACAGCGAACATGGACGCGAGTCCATTGTGTGCAAATGCACCGTACATATGGAGTGTGGGATCTCAAGCACATGCGAATAGATAGAGAACCTGGTTGTCTACACCTAGTCTTTAGATAAATTGTGAGCGAGTGTCGGCGGAGTAGTTCATTGTAAATACATACGGATTCGCGAAAATAAGCGAGCTATTCATATTTACAAAGAAATGAAAAGTATGATTTTTAGAAGAAAGTATGTATGTATGTAAGTGTGTGAGTGTGTATGTATATCCGTATGCATGCACGTATGCATGTATGTATACATGTATGTATACAGGTATGTATGTATGTATGTATGTATGTATGTATGAATGTATGTATAAATGTAAGTAGGTACGCATCTGAGCATGTATGCATATATGTATGTATTTACATAATATGTACGTATAAATGTAAATATGTATGCATGTATGTATGTATGTATTTACGCATGTATGAATGTATGCATGCATGCATGTATGTATGCGTAACATGTATATATATATATATACGTACGTAAGTTTGAATGTCTCTATGTATATGAGTCTATACAAATACACAGACACACAGACACAAACAGACACAAATACATATACATATATATACATACATATATGCATATATAAATATGTAATATATACATATGTATATTTATATATGTATAGATATAGATATAGATATAGGTATAGATATAGATATATATATATATATATACATACATGCATACATACATATAACATACATATATACATATATATATACATATATATACATATATATATACAAATATATATATATATATATGTATATAGACATATACACACATATATATATAAAAGTATATATATATGTATATATATACATATGGTTGTACATACACACACACACACACACACACATATATATATATATATATACATACATACATATATACATACATATCTATATATATGAATATATATATATATATATATATATCTATATATGTGTGTGTGCTTAAATCTATAATATATATAAAATATATATATATATATATAGAATATCTATATATATACAATATATATATATATATGTATATATATATATATATATATATATATATATACATACATACATACAATATATATATATATATATATATATATACATATTTGTATGTGTAATTTATGTGTATGTATATGTGTATGTGCATGGGTCTGTGCATATGTAT